TTGTTGTTGTTTTGTTGTTGTCGTTGTCGTTGTTGTTGTTGTTGTTGGTGTTGGTGTTGGTGTTGTTGCTGTTGTTGTTGGTGGTGGTGGTGGTGTTGGTGTTGTTGTTGTTGTTGTTGCTGTTGTTGTTGTTGTTGTTGTTGTTGGTGTTGTTGTTGTTGGTGTTGTTGTTGTTGTTCTTGTTGTTGTTGTCGTTGGTGTTGTTGTTGTCGTTGTTGTCGTTGTTGTCGTTGTTGTTGTTGTTGTTGTTGTTAACCCTTTGAAATGGAGGTTTAACCATGAACAATTGTGATTTCACCATTGTTGTTGCTGTTGTTAACCCTTTGAAATGGAGGTTTAACCATGAACAATTGTGATTTCACCATTGTTGTTGTTGTTGATGATGAAGAACGTCAACCTGCTTATAATTAAGATAGTTAATACGCCATAATTGTGTTGGCTGGTGGGATTATGTTCTGTATATCATCTGTAATTATATATATACATATTACAACAATCCTTAAGCCACAATCCTATCATATCGTGGCTGGTGAGTATGTACTCCCATTGTTGATTAGAAAATTGCATCATTAATTCTCCCGGATGAAACAGGTAGTTCAACACCCTATAACCCAGCAATCAAGCTAATTTACGCTGCTCATATAGACTATGTAGCTCCATATGTGCCGAGGTCACAACATGGGTTGGTTTCCCATATAGGGGAATGGTCAGCAATCCACTAACAGAGATCTTAACACCTGTTATTTTTGGATTCCCAATGTGGGATGGATGATCATAAACAATAAAGCATAAACCAGAATAGGAAAGGGCCCGGGCAAGTTTTAACATGTCTGGCAATAACTCGTTTTTTTGACCCTACGAGTAACACATATAAGGGGTGGTATCCAAAATGGGGGGTACCCCAAATCATCTATTTTTAGATCAACCAGATGGTTATAAACATGGGATTTTAACCACCATAAGTTGGGATATATCTCAATTGTGGATAATTATGGGGGTTTCCTGAAATGGGGGTACCCCCATAAATTGGTCGGGATTTTCCATGAAATAAACCATCCAGCGATAAATGGGTACTCCCATTTGACTACCCTCTGGTAAACAAACAGTTCGCTATTGAAAATTGCCCAGTCGAAATAGTTGATTTACCCAACTATAAAATGGCTGGATCTTTCCATCGTTTTTCGTATGTTTACCAGAGGGTATATCACCATTAATCACCATTGATCACCATGAATTATCATTGTTAACAACTATTAATACCTATTAACCACTAATAGCGATTATTAATATCACCATTATTATCAATATTACCAGATATTGAATATCACCCCATTATGGTTTAAATATCACCCATGATTAATATCACCAAGCAGCATTTTACGAAACCTCCACATATCATCCCAACTCTCGTACCACTCATCCCAGGCACCTTTCCAGATAGGAGGGATCCCACAAGACCAGCATCTCATTGGAATGCGCCTCCACCGTGGATCCGGTCAAATGGACAGGCTACCGGTAAATGGTTGATCCGAAACGAGCTAATATATTTTGGAATTACCATCTGGTTATTTAAAATAGCCATGGAAAATCACCATTTATAATAGGTAAACCATCTATAAATGGGCCATATTTTGGAATCAACATGAATTAACTAGTTCAACACAGGATTCTGAAATATTCTGAAATAAGGAGTCAATGCGCAATGAAAATGATTTGAGACTTGCGTGTATTGGGTAATGGAACCTTTTTGGCGATATTTTTGAGATGAAGTTAGGGTCTTGTTGATTGTTCAATCACCTGCAGCAACGCCAAAAAAGCACAAATTACTTTACTTCGTGTGATCCCCACCATGACATTTATACATTTTGTTACTGGCAAATCTTCTGGCATTCTATCTGACATATTTTCTGGCATTCGATCTGGCATTCTATCTGGCATATCTTCTGGCATTCTATCTGGCATATCTTCTGGCATTCTACCTGGCATATCTTCTGGCAGATGTTCTGGCATATCTTCTGGCAGATGTTCTGGCATATCTTCTGGCAGATGTTCTGGCATTCTATCTGGCATATCTTCTGGCATATTATCTGGCAAATCTTCTGGCATTCCATCTGGCATTCTATCTAGCATATCTTCTGGCATATTATCTGGCAAATCTGCTGGCATTCTATCTGGCAAACATTCTGGCACTTATCTGGCATATCTTCTGGCATTCTAGCTGACATTCTATCTGGCATTCTATCTGGCATACCTTCTGGCATTCTATCTGGCATATCTTCTAACATTCTATCTGGCATATCTTCTGGCACTCTATGTGCCATATCTTTTGGCGTGGATACTCGCGGTTGAGGTCCGGCAGGGAACACTGGGCGTGGATGGTCGTGGTTGAGGTCCGGCAGGGAACACTGGGCGGGGATACTCGCGGTTGAGGTCCGGCAGGGAACACTGGGCGTGGATGGTCGTGGTGAGGTCCGGCAGGGAACACTGGCGGGGATGGTCGTGGTTGAGGTCCGGCAGGGAACACTGGGCGTGGATGGTCGTGGTTGAGGTCCGGCAGGGAACACTGGCGGTGATGGTCGTGGTTGAGGTCCGGTAGGGCACACTGGGCGTGGATGGTCGTGGTTGAGGTCCGGCAGAGAACACTGTGGATCGCGGGTCGCAGTTGGACGAGGAGGACGACGAGGAGGACCACGAGGAGGACGAGGAGGACGACGAGGAGGAGGAGGAGCAGGAGGAGCAGGAGGAGGAGGACGAGGAGGCAACTGACATAAAATCTAACAACCCTCACCTGGCCGGTGGGGAAAAAGTAAGATCACTCATGTAAATGGTGTTGAATTACGTTTCTATTTTTTGCGGGGAGGTATTTCTTTCTGGACCTCATTTTGCGCAGAAACTCTCGTTTCAAAAAAACGTGATAGCCCTTGTTCGGATCCACAGGTGGACTGGTCAATCTCAAACAAATGGCTACAGACTCTTTCCATATGTCACTGTCTGAGAATGGGGTACACCCTCATCTATGGTCATTTAGTTTCTATTTCATAGGTAAAATCAGGTTCTATTCTGAGCCACTGGATTTAGGGGTACATGTTTTTCTTTAGACAAAACCATTGGATAAGTTGGTCGAATTAGGAAAGCGTTGAAGATACAGCCTTTCGCGGACATTCCTGGATCACCGTTGCGCAACTCTTGAAATGTCAGGAGATCCTGACTCAACAGGTGAAATCCCAAGGACAAAAATCTCAAAAAAAAAAAGCCAACCATGCGTAAAAAGGCTTCTAGTTGCTGTGTGATAAGAAAACGCTTGTCAATAAACGACACGTGGATTGATGATACCTACAATTGGTGAATGGTTAGCAAGTTGTTTGCATATCTTTGTCTATGCACCCTACTTCTAAGTTGGTGTACAAATAGACCCATGAACTAGTTGATTGTATCTACCATAAATCCTAGTTAAGCTAGCCATGAAGCAACTTAGCGAATGATGGGCACCATCTTGCAGTCCTGGAATCACTGAATCAATGCTGAAGGCTTCTTACATTCATTGGGATTTTTTGTAGGGCCGAGTTGTAGGACTTAAGAATATCCAAGCACCATATTGGTGACTACATGTGATTTTAATATTATATACTGCTATATATATATATTATATATATCTATCCAATGATATTATTCAATGGTGAATATTATTGGATGACATGGGATATAGTCAGGCCCCAATTGTCCACTTTCAGCCGGTTTTGGGTATTTAAAAACGCATGGTTTGTCAGTGGATGGAAGTACGTACCTGGGCCCCATGTGAAAACCCCCAAAGCGCATGGACTTAAGTCCTTAACTTCTATTCTGGTTGGTGGTTGAGCCAGCCCTCTGAAAAATATGAGTTCGTCAGTTGGGATGATGACATTCCCAAGATATGGAAAGTCATAAAATTCATGTTCCAAACCACCAACCAGATATAATAGATCAATAATATTATTTAAATCAGAATATGGTTGTTATTATATTTAACTTCTATTATTTCAAGTATACCCTAAAGATTTCACAGATTTTCCCATGGATTTTCCAAGTTGGATCCAGTTCCCCAGGAAACTCGCCGTCCGGTGTCAGGTCGGCCAACCCCCCGGCGCACCACGAAGAGAGGGAGAGCTTGCAGTGTCCGCGCCTTTAACTGAGGATCTTCCTACGCTGGTGGCGCATTTTTTTCAGAGACTGGGACACCCTCGGGACATGCGATAGATATTGTATACTTGTATAATATTGTATTATATATATATGATTGTATATGTATATGTAATATTGTATATTTATGTGTATAACATATAATCCCTTCCCCCTGTTACTAAACGTACACCAAATACAAAAAAATATAGGATCTGCGTTAAGTGTTGGGAAATTTCAGACTGGCCAATTTGATTATTACTTGATCCACGTTCAAAAACAAATTAAACATGGAGGTCCCATTTGAGGGTTTCACCCCATAATGATAAGAACTACTCAATGCCATGATATTTTTTCCCGAGAGCGCCTGCGAAGGGTTCTTCGTAAAAAAGCAGCCGTTATACTAGATCTTCACACCTTCACACCTGCAGATCTAGATCTTCACACCCTCACATCTGCAGATCTACATCTTCACACCCTCACACCTGCAGATCTACATCTTCACACCCTCACATCTGCTGATCTACATCTTCACACCCTCACACCTGCAGATCTACATCTTCACACCCTCACATCTGCAGATCTACATCTTCACACCTTCACATCTGCACATCTCCTCTCGCTCTTCTTTCTATCTCTCTCTTAAGGCGGGGGCGGTGCCGCCGGAGCGCCACGAAACGCAACCCTTTCGCACGAAATGGACGTTGGACGTCCAAAACCTAGGTAAAATTGCGATTTTGAAGCGTCCCGCGCAACCCTTTCGCACGAAATGGACGTTGGACGTCAAAAACTGAGGAAAAATTGCGACTTTGAGGTGTCCCGCGCAACCCTTACGCACGCCAACGTCAAAAAATGAGGAAAAACTGCGACTTTGAGGTGTCGCGCGCAACCTTTTCGCACGAAATGGACGTTGGACGTCAAAAACTGAGGAAAAATTGCGACTTTGAGGTGTCGCGCGCAACCTTTTCGCACGAAATGGACGTTGGACGTCAAAAACTGAGGAAAAATTGCGACTTTGAGGTGTCCCGCGCAACCCTTACGCACGAAATGGACGTTGGACGTCAAAAACTGAAGAAAAATTGCGACTTTGAGGTGTCCCGCGCAACTCTTACACACGAAATGGACGTTGGACGTCAAAAACTGAGGCAAAATTGCGATTTTACTTATTCAATCGCAACCCTTACGCACGAAATGGACGTTGGACGTCAAAAATTGAGGAAAAAATGCGATTTTACTTGGTCAATCGTAACGCTTTCGTCTGTGTAAAAGTGTCTGTGTGTAAAAGCCGTAAAAGCCTCTGTGTGTAAACGTGTCTGTGTGTAAAAGTGTCTGTGTGTAAAAGTGTCTGTGTGTAAAAGTGCCGTGTGTAAAAGCGGTTGTGTGTAAAAGCGTCTGTGTGTAAAAGGGTCTGTGTGTAAAAGCGTCTGTGTGTAAAAGCGTCTGTGTGGTAAAATCGTCTGTGTGAAAAGCGTCTGTGTGTAAAAGCGCCTGTTTGTACAATTCGCCTGTGTGTAAAAGCTTCTGTGTGAAAAGCCTTCTGTGTGTAAAGCTTCTGGGGGGAAAAGCCTCTTTGTGTGAAAGTGTTGTGTGTAAAAGTGTCCTTCACTGTGTGTAAAATCGTCTGTTTGTAAAATCGTCTGTGTGTAAAAGCGCTGTTTAAAGCGTTCCTGTGTGTACAAGCGCCTGTGTGTAAAAGCTTCTGTGTGTAAAGCCTCGTGGGTGTAAAAAAGCTGCGGGGGGTAAAAGCCTCTGTGTGTAAGTGTGTGTGTGTGTAAAAGCGTCTGTGTGCAAAAAAGCGTCTGCGTGTAAAAGCGTCTGTGTGTAAAATTGTCTGTGTGTAAAAGGGTCTGTGTGTAAAAGCGTCTGTGTGTAAAAGCGTCTGTGTGTAAAAGCGTCTGTGTGTAAAAGCGTCTGTGTGTAAAAGCGTCTGTGTGGAAAAGCGTCTGTGTGTAAAAGCTTCTGTGTGTAAAAGCGTCTGTGTGTAAAAGCGTCTGTGTGTAAAAGCGTCTGTGTGTAAAAGCGTCTGTGTGTAAAAGAACCTATGTGTAAAAAGCGTTTGTGTGTAAAAGCGTCTGTGTGTAAAAGCGTCTGTGTGTAAAAGCGTCTGTGTGTAAAAGCTTCTGTGTGTAAAAGCCTCTGTGTGTAAAAGCTTCTGTGTATAAAAGCCTCTGTGTGTAAAAGCTTCTGTGTGTAAAAGCCTCTGTGTGTGAAAGTGTTGTGTGTAAAAGTGTCTGTGTGTAAAAGCGTCTGTGTGTAAAAGCGCCTGTGTGTAAAAGCTTCTGTGTGTAAAAGCCTCTGTGTGTGAAAGTGTTGTGTGTAAAAGTGTCTGTGTGTAAAAGTGTCTGTGTGTAAAAGCGTCTGTGTGTAAAAGGGTCTGTGTGTAAAAGCGTCTGTGTGTAAAAGCGTCTGTGTGTAAAAGCGCCTGTGTGTAAAAGCTTCTTTGTGTAAAAACCTCTGTGTGTAAAAGCTTCTGTGTATAAAAGCCTCTGTGTGTAAAAGCTTCTGTGTGTAAAAGCCTCTGTGTGTGAAAGTGTTGTGTGTAAAAGCGTCTGTGTGTAAAAGGGTCTGTGTGTAAAAGGGTCTGTGTGTAAAAGCGTTTGTGTGTAAAAGTGTCTGTGTGTAAAAGCTTCTGTGCGTAAAAGCACCTGCGTGTAAAAGCGCCTGTGTGTAAAAGCGTCTGCGTGTAAAAGTGTCTGTGTGTAAAAGCGTCTGTGTGTAAAAGCCTCTGTGTGTAAACGCGTCTGTGAAAGTGTTTGTGTGTAAAAGCATCTGCCTGTAAAAGCGCCTGTGTATAAAAGCGTCTGCGTGTAAAAGTGTCTGTGTGTAAAGGCGTCTGTGTGTAAAAGTCTCTGTGTGTAAACGCGTCTGTGAAAGTGTTTGTAGGTAAAAGCATCTGTGTGTAAAAGGGTCTGTGTGTAAAAGCGTCTGTGTGTAAAAGCTTCTGTGTGTAAAAGCTTCTGTGTGGAAAAGCATCTGTGTGCAAAAGCGTCTGTGTGTAAAAGCGTTTGTGTGTGAAAGTGTGTGTGTGCGTCTGTAAAAAAGCATCTGCATGTAAAAGCGTATGTGTGTAAAAGTGTCTGTGTATAAAAGCGTCTGTGTGTTAAAGTGTTTGTGTGTAAAAGTGTCTGTGTGGAAATGCGTCTGTGTGTGTGCGCGAAAAACGTCTCTGTGTGAAAGCGTCTGTGTGTAAAATTGTCTATGTGTAAAAGCTTCTGTGTGTAAAAGCGTCTCTGTATAAAAGCTTCGCGTTTCCTCTCGTTCACGGAATGATGGTGCCGAGCCTTTTTCCGCAATATGTGTGGGAATGACCATAACAAAATGAGAAAGCACATGTCATTCGCAGACTCATGGTACCGAGCCTCCTGTGCACTTTTGTTGCTCACATTACATTTCTCCATGTTTTCTTTCTACTTCCCCCTTTCATTCTCTCTCTCTCTTGCTTTCTCTTTCTCTCTCTCTCTCTCTCTTTTTCTCTCTCTCTCTCTCTCTTTATCTCTCCCCCCTCTTTCTCTCTGCCTTTGCAAGACACATGTCATCTGATGCCCTTTACCAAATATTCTCTTCTTGCTCAATCTTACTTTTTCACACCGTATCTTTCCATAGCTCATATAAAATTCACCAACTATTCACTGACTATCTTTTACGACTACCATCCTCAGAGCTGCTTGAAAAACGTCTTTTTCGCTCTCGGGCCAACCGTCGTCTAGTTTCTATTCGGGTCCCTGTTTTGAGATCGAAAAATGCTTCTTTTTAAGTTTCAAATTCAATATTATTTGGTGCACGCATTGAAAACTATTATGTTGCAATATTTTAATTATATAAGATTAATAATTGATTTTGAAATTAGAACAATAGTTTTACATATCAAGGTTCTTAGTTTAATTTAGGAGAAAGCTTCGAAATCCAATTTTCAGAAATAGACCTTAAAGGAGATTTAGTGGACTTTGAAATAGACAATTTTAGTTTTTAAGATTAAGGTATTTAATTCAATATTAGTGAAAAACTTCAAAATCCAAGCCTTGGCAATATTGTAATTGGATATTGAAAGGAAATTTAATCCATTTCGAAGTAAACAATTCTGTAATTGGATTGAAAGGTGTTCAAATTAATATTAGGGGAAAGCTTCACAATCCATTTTTTGACAATATCTTAACTAGACTTCAAAGTACATTTAATCGATTTAAACTAGAACATTTTGGTTCCTTATATTAAGGTGTTTGATTTGATATTAGGGGGAAGCTTCGTACCCTAATACTAAAGGCACCCTAATACTAAAAACTCCTCCAGGTGTGTTTTTTTGGGGAGAGTTAGTATTAGGGGGAAGGGATTATATATATATATATACATGGCTAAGGTTGGAGACCCTGCAAACAACAGATATTTTATTAAAAACTTAACTACCTCATTACTGAAGTATGCATCCAAGGTTGCTTGTGTATGTTATTGGGAGAAAACAACCTATCATTGGAGGACTCACTTTGAACCGAAGTGAATTTCCCAGTAATTTCCACTTCTCAACTAATTATATATATATATATATATCATTATTTAATATACAATTACAATATTCAATTGGTGTAAAATTAGAAATCCAATTGGAAGACTTGGTTATCCAAATCAGAGTTATCACCCTTGCTCGGGTGTGATCTTCAGCTGCGGTTACCCACACCCTCGGTCCTGGTTGACACACGTCCGATCGAACCAGAAACGCTTCCTGGCAGGGTACTGCTCACGGCGCTCGGCAGTGAGATAAAGAGGGTGGCTAAACAAAAAAAACAAGAATTGATAAGGGGAACTTCCCACATCATCTATTCCGTCTAATGTTGTTTTTTAATTTCAGTTGGTCAAATGGTAAAGTATCAACCCTCCAGCAATGTACGTGTGGAAAACCATGGTTTCCCTAGAACAATGATCTAGACATGGGCCTTTTTGCAAAACAAATATATATATATATATATATATACGTGTCAGTCTTAGATGCCTTGCACTTTTCTTCTTAGCTGGTTAGGCTAGTATCTCTATATTATATGTATAATATATATATATATATATGTGAATCTTATTTTATGGCAAAAGATCACGTTGTTTCTTAACCATCCATCCAAGCTTTCCACAGTTTTGTTAATTTACTGCTGGGTTATCCCCTAAATAGATCCAGCCAGGGATTAAGGGCTCAACCGTGGACATCTATTCTACCTTGCCCCGGTAGCCACCTAAAAACCATGAGGGGCAAGTAATCCTGGGGATGGCTGATATGCAACATAGCCATCTGGGATGATACTCAGCGGCAACATCTTCTCACCTGGCAGTTTCCAATGTATAACGCCAGTTGAAACGTTTTTTTTTAAATCAATCTCCTCTGGATAGCATTGCCAGCACCGAAAACACCAAGGCCTGCTGTTTGGCTTCTGATTTCCATTCCAGCTGGGAGCTGCATAGATATAGGCGGCGCACGTCAACATCCCATGATTCTCCCAACAAACAACATTGTACACGATGATAGAAGGATATTACTGGATAATTATGGGAGATACGGATGTAATAAACCATCCCGTAAAATAATTTGATGCCTCTGTCGCGGTATGATCTGCCTGCATTTGTTTTGGTTCATTGCACGAAGTGGTGCCCCATACTTCGCTAAGTTGGTTTCTAGCTATATAGGTTAACTACGATTTATTGTAGATATATCTATGGCCATATAATGTCTTTTTAATCAACTTA